GATAATAAAGTATTAGTAGACTCATTATGATTATATTATTGACATTTTATCATGAATTTCCTGTCAACTTTAATGTGCTAGAAAAGCAAATGATTGTTTCATCTTTTTGCACTTTTATCCTCCAACTATTTATGTGATAATATATTCGTAAATGATTTACATTGAATTTTCAAAGTTCATTTTTTTGCTGCTCTACAGTTTACTAACGTCAGTTTACTGGGAGGTAAGAGTTGAATTTTTATCCTCTTTCTTTGCGAACAATATTTTCCTCTTCTGTTTGGAAAATTTTTCATTCCCAGTTTTACCTTTCGTTTCTCTCTTTCTCTATTAAAAAGTTTGAATTACTTTCTTATCTGGTGAAATATTTTTCCACTTTGTCTTTTCACCATTTTTCCCTTTCTTTTTTCACATTCATTCCTGTCTTTACAATTTATAACCTGATAATCATGATAAATGGTGTCAACATTTTTCTTTACCTGAATCACAAAAATATTTCTCCATTGTGACACTTTTATGGTCTTTAATAATAATGATAATAGTTTGCAAAATAAAACTTGAATAGGAGAATGGAAGACAAAAAATGAAGAGAGAAAAGGCAAATATTTTTTCACTCTAATTATTGTTGAAGAATCAAAGCTTTTCCAGTTTCACTTATCATTTTCCAACTTGGCTCGCATTTTGATTGATCAACTGAGTTTTGACGCTTTTTCACTCCGAATCAAAATTATGATGAAAAAATTGAAATGCCTTTAAATTGCCTTTGATAATCAATTTCAATCCAAATTTACTCAATCAATCAATAGGAATCATCTTGATTACGCCCTGGCACTTTGTTCTGCTTAATAGCAAAAGTATTATAAAACCTTGAAAGTCTTGAGTTTTTTCATGACGTTTAATAGATCAACTCTTGAGAGTAAAATACTGTTTTGTAAATTCTTGCTCTTAAGTCTACCTCAAAGCTTCATGATATTATACCTTCATTTATCATCTGATAATTCATTTGTAATGAAAACACAAAATTTTTCAACTTTATTATCCGCTCGCAACAATAATTTGAGTCAACATTGTCTGATAAGAGTAAATGAAAGCTCTTGACCATACTGTGAACTGCTCGGTTAAAGCAATTTTCACAGTCATATCTCAATTTGTAGAATCCTAAATTTTTATTAATCCATTACCTAAAGCTCAAAGGCTTTCCTCAGCTGAAAGCCATCTTCACTGGATAGAGACAGACTGCTTTGATCGGATACTTTACAGTAGCTCGGTTTACGGTCGTAACTTGAGAGTCATTCTAAAGAACTCTGACTTGGACTGGGGATTTTTACAAGTTAAAGTACATAAACAGTGTCTCAAGGCATTCAATGTCTTTTGTTTATTTGACCCCAAAATGACATGGAAAGGTTAGAGAGAGCAAATTTTTACACTGATAACACCTTGTTGTCTAACGCTGAGTCTTGCAGTTTTGGAAGTAAACAAGTTTGATTAATTTTCGAACCATTTGTCTCTTACTCTTCCAATGGCTTTCCCTCTTTTTTCTGTGTTAAATGTTGAATAATTAGTTGAATGATTAAATATTGCAACCATGGATGGAAAATCATTTTTGGCACTTAATCAACACTTGCTATTATTAAAACCTCACTTTCTTGTGATAAAAGTTTTGATAATTATTTTGTTGGAAGCTTTTGTTTGTTGTAAACTTTTTTCAAAAAAATCCCATTTTCCTTTTCCCAACACTCTCTTTGAATTGTATTAATAGTTGGGTTTATTTTATTTTTTTATGTTTCTAACTATTCTATAATGGATGCTGATGTTGATGATAATGATTGTTATAATAATACTAATAATGATGATGATAATGATCATGATGATGATTGTTTTTGTGTGTGTATGTTGAGCAAATAATGTCTATAAGCATTTTCCAGTTTCCAGTTTCCATCAATTTTCAAACTTGTATTAATAACAATATGATTATTATACTCTGTACTTTTCATTGCACATATTTGCGTTATATTGAGTTCAAGTCTAACTTACAATATTAGTTTTGGTTTGCCGATCAAACCTTGTCATTGGAAAGAAAACTTTCTTTCTCTTTTTCTTGATGAATTTACTTTTGCTTTTCCAAGTCATTTTGCGTTCTCTCTCATCAATTGTTCAAAATTGAATCAAGTTCATTATTCTTGTCATTCGTTTAACGTTCAACCAGCATAATGATGATTGAAAATGGAAACAAAATTCAACACAAACAAAGGTTTAATATGGTAAAGTTGAGTCCAAGGCAGGCGCAACATTCCAATGGACATTCATCGAGTCTCAATTTGGAGACTGGAAAAGAATGAGAAAAGTGAAAATTGACCTTTTAACAAATGACATTTTCAACATTCTTAACTCTTAATATTGGTAAAGTTGTTTAAGTAATGATTATGATTATGAAAGTGAGGAAAGCGAAAGGTTATTGATGACGAGAAACGTCAATTTACTCAACGATTTCCTCAAAATATTTAACCATTAACTGAAATGACCCTCGACTCGGCTGCGAACCTTTTCAAAATGCTTGTGATTAACGAATCTATTTGAATTACAATGTCTACTGTTGATGAGGAATGGCATTTGAAAACATGTAAAACTGTAAACACCAAGTAATTATTGGCCAACTTTAATTCAATGTTTTTCATTCTTGCCAAGTTCCCTCATCATTCCTGTGTCAGCTTTAATCACAAAAGTAAACAAAAGTGACATTTGATTGAAGTCTAAGCTGCCAGGTCTAGACTTGATTGTACTCGAGTTGATAGTCATTTTATTGCATTATTAAAACATATTGACGTAAAAATGTGTGTTTATGTAAAATTAATTGAGCAAAAATGAGATTAAATTTTCATCTCAAGGCCACAGTCTATCACACTTTTGATGCACACAAAGAGCACGATGTTGGGTCAAAATAAAAGTCAACATTGAGCAACAATGCAAGTGTTATACCAATTATGTTTGAAGCGGAAATTTGTTGATAGATTTTAATGAAAGAAAGAAAATGTTGATCAACTTTGAGTTAATTTTCATTTAGAATAGTTAATCTGAATGGAAAGATTACGAGATGAATGAATATTGGTTTTTTTGGAGGAAATGGGAAAAGGAGCATTTTGTTGATGTACTCAAGATAAACATTGACATTTCAACATTCATAAACTTTTGCCATTTGCTGTTTACGAAGAAATTCATTTTTACATCATTTTTCTGTTTGATTAGCTTTTCTTTTCTTGAAATGCTTCTTGAAATGTTCAATATGCTATCAGTTTATCACATCTTTTTTTTGCTGCTGATTTCTTCTCGATAATAATAATGATAATAGCAAGTGCAGTAATGATAATAAAAGCAGAATACAATAGAAATGGATGAAATGAAAAATGACAAATATATCATTTCTAATGAGGTGACAATTTATTCTCAATCTAATCTAACAAGAACAAGATATAAAGATAGACAAAAGCCAAATGGAAATAACTGGCAATGATAACTGGGAGGGAAAACGGGGAGTTGAGTGAGAAGCAAAAATATTCATCACATTTGAAATATGAAGATAAACTTGTTTCTTTTGTTGCATTTTTCTTCTTCTCATATTTGCTGTGTCTTTATTTTCGAGGCAAAAGAAGAAGAAAAAATGGAAAAGATTCAATGTTTTCTCTTTTTTCTTCACCATGGAATGCCAAGTTGAACATGTCGACATGAAATATTGCTTCATGTTTCAATTCAGATCACAAATTTTCAGTTTCCGTTTCTCTTCCTTTTTCTTCCTTTTACTTGTCTTAATATCTTATCTCGTGTTTATTGTTAAATGTCAAGTTTCTGTAAACATCAAACTCGACATTTTTTTCTCATGGAAAATGAAAGATTCTTTTTTTCTCTTCATTGTCTTTATTGTCCAATGTCAATGTCCACAACTCTTTATTGACCTTCTTTTCTTAGTCTAGATAATTGGTCAATTCTTTTGGAGAAGAAAATAATTTACTCTCTTTTCTCTGGCTTGACTGCTCATTGTTTCGCCATTTGTAAATGTAAAGTAAATTTTATGCATTATTAACGATAATTAATAACGAGATTTTTTCTGTAAATTGAATTATTTTCATGGCAATTTGCTTCATTTGCTGGTCAAACTGTGCATAAATATTATAATGAAATAAACTTTATTTTCATTTACTGCAACATTTGGCTTGAAAATAGATTATTAAACAACATTGAACCGCTGATGATCAGATTATCAATTTAATGTGACAGTTTCTGCTATTCATTATGCAGCTATTATGTTTATTTGATTAAAAATTGTTTCATTCAATTTTCTCTTTTTTTGTTCTTTGCCAAATATTGCATCCTTTCAGAATTTTTGTCTGGCAAAGTCAAACTTTCATCTTCGTTGAAAAATTTCAAATTGAATCGATAATTGAAAATGCTTTGGAAAACTTGAAAATTTATTTACTTCATTTGACTTGAATGTTTACTTGAATTTTGTCAATTATTTATCTCGATACTCTTCATGATGAATGACTTAACATTAAAGTTTTGTGAGAATTGTTTCGAAAATTCTGTTGAAGGAAAAATGGACAATGAGTTTGCTATCAACTTTGTTCAACAGTTAATAAGAGAGGAAAAGATGAAAATGAAAAGTCTTTTTAGAGAGAGGAATAAAAGAGTTTGGAAATAAAATTTCTTTAATAGCTTGAAATTTTCTGGTGGAAAAAATTTCTCTTTATTCACTTTTTGTCTTTAAATTTGCATCATTTTTCTTTTTCTCTTTAAACTCAGTCAACTGAAATGAGCAAGTTAAATATGAGCATAAAAGGACATCTCTATTTGATAATGAAATGCTCAACTCATGAACCCAAATCTAACCTAATCTAAGAGTGCAAAAGGCTTTGAACTCTTTTCAATGTTGGCTTGAAATTTCAATTTGCATACTTTGAACAAGCAAAACTTTAATCAATTTTTTCTCTTCTTTTCTCTTCTCTTTACAGGCATAAACTCATCAACAATGAAATTGAGCCAAAATTCAACTGGAAATAAATTCATCAATGACCATGGAATGAACAGACAACAAGGTCATCATTTACATAAAAGGCAAAATAGTGATTATAAAGTAAAACGCAATAGTGATTCATCTAAAAGTGTATTTAGTGATAAACAACATTTGTATTATGTAAATAATGCTGTTAATAGTAACAATTATGAAACTGCAAATTTTCATGTTAATAGAAGAGGAAATGAATTTCAATCGTATAATAACATGGGTGAAATGGTAATAGACAAATCATCCTATGATCCTTCAGGATACCACAAATTAACCACACATGATCCATCTTTTGATGATAATATTAAACGAAATATAACAATACCACAGGGAGGAACAGCATTTTTACAGTGTAAGATAAATCATCTTGGAGACAGAGCGGTAAGTAAGAAATGGAAAGTGTAAAAATGCAAAATTTTACAAGCAAAAGAAAACAAGGAAAGCTAAAAAAAGTGGAAAGAAAAGGAAAAAACTGGCATTGAATAGAATGCGATAATAAAAATTTGCAAGATGTTCAACTGAAGGAGTAAAAGTGCGGAAAAATGAGTTTTGAGTTTTTTGCTTCCCCTCTCTCTCTCACCAACTGAGAAAGTTTTCCCTAAGGCATAATCTATATTAACACTCCCAGCAACATTTTTTTTGGCATTTTGTTATTTCACTTTTTTCGAAACATTATTGATGTGCCTCATTATACAAAATGCTCAGTATGATATTCAACACCAATTTTCTCAGATTCAATTATTAATGAATTATAATAATTGTAGTTTTCGCTGATTTTTCCGATATTGAAATCTATTCCAAAAATTACTAAACGTAAAAGCACAGCTGTAGTTATTCGTGTACCAATTTTGTTCTTGTTCTAGAACAAAGTTCAGAATTTTATGAGCAAAACAAGGAAAAAATTGTTCTTGTTCTTGTTCCTTAGCCTATGAACAAGAACTGCACTACACAACTCTGAGGATAAGCGCATTTTCAAACCGTTCAATTAAACAGCTGGTTTTGAGAAAATTCGTTTATCTTTACAACGGACTGAGTTGACATCCCGCAACTAACCAAGTTAGAACCAAACAAGTTGAAAAATTTTGAGCTCTCAGAAAAAAACCTTCACTTTTTCACTTACAAACTATCAGTTGCGTTTATATGATCCAGATTTTGTCATGGATTTGGGTTCCAAGGGATATGTTATTCAGAGTTTGAGAGAATTTACAGCTATATCGGTTCTGGACAATTCCTTATTTAATGATTTGATAGATAGTCTGTGCCGGTTTTCTAGGAAGATAACTATGGAAGGTGGTGGGGATGAGCGAGTTGTCTACCGCTATAAAATTTCTAAGCTGTCGAGTGAAACCCCTGGTTTGTTTGAGATTTTGGCCGTTAAATTTAATGCCTCTTTCACTTGTTCCTCTTGTGCTGGTGTATATAAGAATGCTACTCCTTAAGGTGCGACCTAAAAAGTTTGAAACCTCTCTTCTTGTTCGGGCGCTAATTTGGGCTTATCCCTAAGTTTTCATGGTTTTATTTTGTGCTTTTCCATTAAATATTGACAATAGGACAAACTAGAATAAAAGAGTTATAAAACCCTAATGCAGATGCGTCTAGCATGTTTAGTTCCTGAGCTATCGCACAAACAAATCTATTTAATTAGCGCCAAGATCCTGTACATTTATATGGAACATGCAGTTTACACAAATACACTGAAATTTTCATTGAGCCAGAAATTTGCATGGATTGAAACAGAATATTTTTATCCCATGTCATCCTGTGTCTATGAATATAAAAAAGAGGAAATGAGTTGAACTATTGGGTTAACCTCAAGTTATTCAATTTAACACTGAGAAACGTGAAAAATTTCCAGTTGTTGACACACACACGTATAAGTATTGCTTATTTCATAAATATTCATTGGCCAAAGTGGAAAGTATTCATCATGAAATTAGATTGGTTACAGTTTTAAAATATTGATGCCAATGCGAAGTGTAGAGCATTTTGCGGTCTATCATTAGTTGATACAATTTACGCCTTTTCCATTGAAAGTTTCAAGAATGGAAATCAATTCCTTCATTTTGATTTGTTTTTCCACCTCTCTTTTGGTTCCAACAAATTGAACAGAAACTTTTATCATCTTTGAAAGGAAAAGTCAACAATCTTGTAATACCATTTTTGCCATACAAGAATGTTATTGCATTTCATTTGATAACATTTTTTTTGTCTTTTCCTTCTTTTTGAGCTTTCGCCTGTTTTTTTATTCATTCTTGAGACAACTTGAAGTAGATCATTTCTTTTCAATCTATCACTTCTAATAGTTCTATTGTTATCATATCTATTATCGGTGGAAAGCATTTCAACGAAAATGTTTATCATAATATTGATAATGATGATAATGGTATTAATGATAATATTGAGGAGAGAAGAAAAATGGCATTGGAAGAAAAAAAAAGAAAAGAGAATTTTGTTTATGAACCAGAAAAAAGAAGATGTGGATCAAGCTGATGGTGACGATAGAAACGAAAGGGAACAAAAAGGAAAACAAAAAATTCTACAGATTCAGGAGTAAGCAGATTCTTATCATTCCAAAGTTTTTCATTATATTCAGTCTCAATGCTGGTGAAATGTTAGACAAAATGAAAGAAATTGAGAGAAAAACAAGACTCAGAATTCACTGTTGAGCAATACAAAGTTGGGAATAAACTCGAATTAAGATGAAACTTTGAATATCAAATAACTTTGGATTCAGTTTCATTTCGAAATTTTTGGTGAATTTTCCTTTTCTTTCATCAAAACTCAAATTGTATCAACCTTTTCAACCGTTTTCCGTCGAAACAAATGTCATCAAATTTCGTGAATTTAGTCGAAAATAAAAAAAGGATTGGAAAATGGAATTGAAATATTTTACATATTCACCAATCTTTTACTTGATCATTGATGAAAAATATTTTTTCGCTTTTCTCTCTTTTATCATATTCATATGAAATCATTATCCCTTTCATTTGGTAATACATTTCAAGGCATTATCTTTCCCTGTTAACAGAAAATTCTGTATTTGATTAAGATAAAATGATATTGCATTCCCTTTTGCCCGTTTCTTTCTTCTCTTTTTTATTATCAACTCATTTGGTGATCAATCAATGTTGAACGAGAACTAAACAAATAAAGAATTAGATTCAACCTCATTTCAGTATCAACCAGATTCTTCATTTTCATTACTGATAATACAATTTCATTTCCACACTTAACCAATGAAAACCCAAACCTTTACACCTTTACATTGAGAACCTTAACAACTAAAGTAAAGAGTGATAAAAGTTGCAATACAACTCAACAAAATGCCAACGAAAAGTTCGACTTCTCCAAGATCGTACACTGAGAAGAGAACGAAAATTCCATAGTTTATAAAACTCGACAAAAGGCAAAAAATGTAACCGAACATCAAAATCATGAAACTTGAAAATTCTCTTGAGGCAATTCTCAAAACTCGTATTCGTTTGGGAAAAAGACTTTCGCAGGTCAAAATAAAACTAGACTTTCGCTTTTGTAAAATTTTTGAAAACCAGTTTATCGAAGTCCTTTGCACAAAAATTTATAAGAAATAGAAATAATCGAACCTCACAGAATTCGCAAAAAAGAAAGAAAATGAAACGAAACATGGAAGTTATCGAACTTGGAAATTCTAAAGATTTTCGAATTCGTCTTCATTTGGAAAATGACTATTTCAGGTTAAGAATGCTGAAAGTTTTAATGAAAATATTCCTCTACAGAATGCTGAAAATCGATCTTTAATTCGACAAGTCCAAAACTGTCAAAATTGACAAAATTCGAGTAAAGACAAAAGTGTATTCAAACATGAAATTGTCGAACTTTAAATTCTCTTCTGAATACTTCAACCATTTTCATCATTTTAGAGAATCGAACATTTCAGGTCAACTTTGTGAAGAAAATTTTCTCAAAATTTCCAAGACAATAGTCAATGTGTAAAATGGTCAATCAATGAAAAGAATCTGTTGGTCAGAGTTGACATTTATCATGAAAAATTTGATAACAGTCAGTTGAGCGAAAATGAATTTGCACACTTTTTGGTTTAACCAAAAACCGAAGACTACAGAAAAGGCGAGCAGCAAAAGAGCGACAATGACAACAGTTTAGTTGAAATGATGTTTTCCCATTCCAATTGCTTCTCTCCCTTATTCAGCTTTTGATGCTAATATTTAACGCTCCAACTAACCTTGTCATCAAGTTGCTCTTTCATCGACTGCTCACCATTTCGTTATTTGTATTATTTATTATAAACATTTTTCCTTTTTCCATTATTATCAATTCTCTTATCATTATTTCGCTATCTTTTTCTCTTCTTGTTCGCCATTCATCAGCATGGAGAAAGATTTTCCTTTATAATTCTCTATTCATCTAAACTTTTCATCTCTTCTTTTACACTCTTTTCATGATAATACAACATTCTTTTCTAAAGAAGAACACAAATGTATCAATATTTTCACTTATTGACATTATCTTGTCACAGTTGCCTTTTGTGAAAACTTGTGAAGAAGAAGAAGAAAAAAACAATTGAAAGTCGAAGACGAATTGGACAAAACATTTTCCCCAATCTTGAGACAAATTTGATTGGAAAATTGTTGGTCGATGAAAAAAATATTGATATTCATGAGAAGAAGAGAGAAACAAAAATCAGTTGTAAATTTAATCAAAATGCCATTTAATAACTGGAGTTATTCAATAATAATGAATACCATTGTTGAGCCGAAAAACAAATAACTTGATAATAGAAAGAGTTGATCATGGGAATTGTGAATCTCTCTGAATTTACCTTTCAAGAATCAAATCCAAGAAGAGAATGGAAATGGAAAAATTGAGATTATTTTCTTCTTCTTCTTCTCTCTTCTCATTTGCTTTTGTTGAACAAGAATATTTATTTATACAACATTTTTCTCATCCTTCTCATCATTCTCTCTTCCTTCTTACAATTTTCCAATGCCTCTTGAGAAATAATAATGTTTCATTTCATTTACCAATAACTTCATTTTCTTATCCAAATTAACCCAAGCTCAAGAGAGAATTGGTCCAATTCGTTGCCAACCAAATGTTGCTGTTGATTCCATGTAAAATGTCTCATCACTTGACTACTCGAGTTGGAATCAAGCAACTAATTTATGTATATTTTCATGTAAAAATGTAATAAAATGCTCAATGGAATTGGATAATTAAAATGATTTTCTTCGTTTTTTCCTTTCCACTTTTACTCTCGACGTTTGACTACAAAGTATTTTTCAGTGTAAATTTTGTTCAAAAATGTGTTCAATTCAAGTAATCATTAGTTCAATAATGTTCACTTTGAAAGTTTGAAGAAAAGAAGAAAAGAAAAAAAAGGTTTCTCTTGTCTTGTTTTCATCTTTACATTTTCACAATGCTTGTGAAAATGATGTTCATGTTCATCTTGAATGTTCATTTTTTTCTCTCTCTTCATCTTGTTCTATTTTCCTCAGGTCTCGTGGGTTCGTCAAAAAGATTTACATATATTAACATCAGGCCGTGATACTTATACAAGTGATTCACGTTTCAGATCAATCAACCTTCCCAACTCGAATGAATGGACTCTTGAAATAAGAGATACTCGTCTTTCTGACTCAGGAATCTATGAATGTCAACTATCAACTGATCCCAAAATGTCGACAAGTGTATACCTTTCGGTTATTGGTAAGTACTACTGAACCATCTTTTTACTACCTTTTTTACTTGCATTGGCACAAGTTGCTTTTGCCAAACCAATTAGCCAGTTGAGTATGATGATCAAATTTTGCAGTTCACTTCTCTTGACATGAAAAGACTTGCAACTCAATTTCAATGGTCTGACAATTTAATCTTGCGAGTTTCAATTTCCCCAAAGAAAAAAAATGTTTTCTAAAAACATTTGCAATTTCAAATGTCAATCAATTTGCTTGGAAAAACATGCAAATGTTCATTGATCATTCATGAAGCGATATTCAGAAAAATGTCATCAAACACTCGGACACAACTTTCAATTCAATTTTTCGACAACTTCAACATTCTTCTAAAACACTTAATTCTAAAACGAAATTCGTTTTTTTGAAAAACACCGAAAATCGATATAAATTAGCATTTCTTTTCAACATTTACATGATCGCCTACTTCGACATACTTTTACTTTTTTTATTGATAAAAATAAATAATTTGGAACCTTTGATAGCAAAGAGCAACATTTTCATCTCACAAGAGTATTGCTTGTTACCACCTGAGGACATTACAGAAAAGTGGTTCGAGACAAAAATGGAATCAAGAGCAATAGAAATTTTTTTTTTCTGGAGAAAAAAAACTTTTCACATGATTGGGTTAATGGGATACTAATAATGATGAGATAAATTGGTCTACAGTTATTAATGTACTTGACTGGGATGACATTGTGTGGTAGCGCTGATGGTGATGGTTGGAAGGGACGAAACAATAGGCGGAAGGAAAGGCACAGAAGCATCAAGAAGAAAGATGAAAGTGTGATTGTTAATCATTCAAGAATCTTCATTAGTTAAATGATTGTTTGACTTGAGACAGAATTGCAATAACATTTGAAGCAGAATAACATTTGATAATAGTTAATGATAACAGCAACAACAATAACAAGAGTGAAAAGGCATTCCTTAGTTGAATGGTTACACAGATATGTGCAGTTCACTTGAAAACAACAATAAATACGGCGAGAGAGAGAGAGAGAGAGAGAGAGAGAAAACGAAGAGAAACGAAAAAATAAAACAAGAATAATCGCATATCCATGACCGATAATCAATCTATCAGTCAATGAGTCTGGTGAAGAAAAAAAAGCCAAAGAAGGAAGAAGGAAAAGAGAGAGAGAAAAAAGGAAAATCCATTGTTTAAGGTTATCACTATTCTTTTGATTACTTCGAGCTCCAACTATTATCCATCCTCAACAAACTCCTTTTTTCCCCTTTTCTCATCTTCATTATCTTCATCTACTGGTCATTGTGAAAAGGGTACAATTCTCGTTAGGTCAATCAATCAACAATCTAATTAATCATTGTGTTACCTAATGATGTTTCCCTTCCTGTTATTACACTTTAACATCCAAAATCTTTTCGCATTCATTCTCATGCTCATCATTCACAGGGTTTGCATTTGCACGAAAAGAAGACTATTCAATTTGTGCAGAAAAGTGCAAAACAACAAAGAGACAATTTTCAATTTGAAATCGCCTTTGAAATTAAATTTATCGCTTTTATTGTAAAGAAAAAAAGTTTCTTGCTCGCAACTTTTCATCAACGATTAGGATTACGAAAAAAATTAACAGATAATGATGTAAAAAATTGCAAGAAGAGAATGTCTTTTGTTGATTTTTTCTTGTTCGCCTTCTTGCTCCAATCTTTGCATGAATGATGATAAATTGTTTGTTGCTGACCAGTTTGATGCTGCTGCTCCGCTCATATTCATAATCATTATCAACATTACAAGTTAAGCGGGAACATGAAGCGAAACAGGGAAAATCACGCAACATTATACTAACATTTATCCCTTTTATTTTCTTGATAACAACAATAATAAGTATGATAATAATAAGACAAAAACTTTCATCCCAAGTTATTCATTAATAGCTTCAAGTTAATCTTTTTTACTCTGTTTCATGAGAAACTTGGCTTTCTTCTTCCTTCTTTTGTTTCCTTTTCAACTGATAAACTTTTTCTGCTTGTTTTACTAACAACAATCAACAACTGATAATTATGATTAAATTAATATTTATTAACCTATTTAACGATAAACTTTTCGGATAATGCTTTGTGTCAGTATAAATACAATGCGACAACTATTGATAAATCATTAATCAAAAATTGTTAGCTGTAATTGTGCTGAAAGACATAAAATAGGCTCAACTCAAAATGTAAATATCAATAAATGCAGGGAAGCAAAGGGAATGAAGAGTTAATTGTCAACTATTAGAACTAATAGAATCAGAATTCACTCATTTTCAACCCGTTTTGATGTCTTGTTCGTGCTTTTCTTTTGTTTTTCATCTCAAAAAAAATCAAACTTGAAAATTGTTGAACAGAAAAAAGGAAAAAAGGAAAATAGAGGAAATCGACTTATACGAAGATCCTACAGGTGATTGAGGTAGCCTAAAGTTGACTTAGACCATGCATTTGGAAATCGAACAACATCGAACATCCAACGAGTTCCTGACCATAAAAGTAGTGTAATTAGAATACGAGAAAATAATTATTGGAAAAGTTCGATTTTTTATGAGATTAAAATTCTGAGGCTAAACAGGTTTTAAAACAGTTTTGATCGGTGTTACTGACACGGAGGATAATCTAGTTATACCCTGAAAAGAAGTCATTATTTCATAAAAGCGTTAAGCATTATCTTATCTAAGTGATGAAAATTGGTGAGAGTATCTTGGTCAATAATCGGGATGAAAAGCAAATCAATATAAGAAAAGAATATGTTTGAACGAAATATTTATCTGTCACTTGTTGTGAGACGAAAATATGACGTCCAATTGGTTAATCTAATGTTGAACATTAATCAAAATAAAGTAAAAGACAAGAATATGATGATGAAGAGAGGAAGAATAAAATGAGATTCGAAACATGATAGAGTAAACTGTATTATCCATGGACTTATCGAGTTGTGTTATTTTTTCTCGTTCTCTCATTCCGGATGGCAATTTACTCAACAAGAAACTAAACTTGCAACATTTTGTTTGGCAGAATTGATTGAACACAGCACAAAAAAAGAAGAGCAAGAAAAAGAAGAAGAAGAAAACAAAAAAATTTCTCTGTACATTCTATCATTACGACTTTCCCATCATCAATTGACTTTGCGCTTGAGCCACAAAATTTGACTTTATTGTCATTTATATTGTTATTAACTTTATTTTATTAATATCAACTATTATTACTACAGGGAGGGGAAGAGAAGGAACAAAGACAAATTGTTGATGGAGAAACACTTTTCATTAAACATTATCTGTTATCATTATTGTCATCAATATTATCGATATTATCGGCATTATCATTACAAGCATCAGTTGAATGAAAAGAAACAATTGTTAAGGTTGACTTTTCTCTCTCACTCTATTTGCAGCCAAAATTGCCAATATTAGTCTCGATTCTGGAGATGAAAAGTTTTTCCTCTGTTCATTGGATAAATCTGTTTTCTATGTATCAACATACTGTTAATACTCACTTGAATAGCTATTGCAGGTATTATCATTATTGAACAGGGAGTTGCAAGTGGCTCAGGGATTGAATAGTGAAAGAATATGAAAAAAAAGTTCAATATTAAACAAGTTCAATTGTTGATTCCCCAAAGCATTCAACTTTGATGAGCTATTTGATAGCAGATGATGTAAGAGGTAAAAAATTTGCTCCACTCACCTCTTCATGTATCAAGTGTATATTGGTTATTAATGGTTAATTGAATTTTTTTATCTTTTCGCACTTCTCTTCACACTCAACCTCGAAGCCAGTTCATATCATGTCTCATTTTTTACCAGCAAAAAAACTTGCTTCTTCACTCTACTTTTGACTTTATCTATGAAAGAGGAAAAGAGAGAACAAATTGCAATCTTTAATCTGACTGAGCCTGATGAGAATTTATCATCACATTATTATCATGTAATTGGTTGAATTGATTATCTGTTTACAAGTTCATGTTCGATTTTTCACCACTTTTCCTTCAAACTGGAAAAATTATTTTCCCTTCTTCCAACTCTTGGAACTTTTTTGTGCTTTCTTTCAATGAATCTCTTGTTGCAAGACTTTTGGTGAATTGTTTTTTCAATGAATTCTGTATCAATTTGAACTCTCATTTGACTGTTGATGTGCAAGTGAAGATTCATTTTTCGCTTATTTTTGGTTCATGATTCCATTGATTTTCAAAGGTAAAGTTGGAAACTTGTATTCAGAATTTGATTGTAGATGTGTTTTTATGAAAAGTGATGAAAGAAAAGAAAACAAATTTAATTCAATTTATTTGGTTATCCAAAAAGTAAATCAATGAATATTAATATTGCCAGTATTTGTGCAACATATTATCATTTATCTGTAACACAGCTTCATTTGGTTATTAATTTTATTAATATTTACAATTATGATTTATTTTGTTTATCATTATTTGAGTGAAAACTTTATTTTTGATCAAACAAATTGTGTTTATTTTTATAATTGCATTATGCACCTAATCTCTGCTCCATGATAGCTACATTATCCTTAAGCTGTTTACAGTTTTGGTTAGCCTTTACCCGAAACTCTCTGATAATTAATCGTTGAATAATTTTGAGAAAATGAATTGAAGGGATTACATGGAATCCATCAGATTCTTTCAACATCTGAAAACATTTGTACGAATCATTGTTATTGAAGATTATAACTATCAAGTTTCATTAGTCTAGCAAGCAATTTAATAAACACAATTTTTCGAAATAAAACATCGATAAACTATGTTAGGGCTCATCAAAAGTTGTGTCAAATGTTACTTTCGGTTACGATCGCGTTCTGATGTAAAACATTTTCAATGATATCTTGCAACGAAACATAAGCAAATCTTGCCAATGGACAGTTGAACTTTTTTTGTGTCGGTTTTCAGATGCTTTTTGCACTCAATGAATGCCTTTTTGTAAAACATTTTATTCACTTTACTCTTTATTAACTTTTGTTTAACAAACACAAACA